AAGGTAGTGGGTTAGCCAGGAATGGTGATATACACCTTTTGGTCCCAGCACTCAAGAGGCACAGGCAGGTGTGTCTCTTGTGAATTTGAGGCCAGCCTGGTATACAAAAGAAAGTTCCGGGATACCCAGAGCTATACAGAGAAACCCTGCCTTGGAAAAAACAAAACAACACAACAAAAAGATTTTAAATTGTGTGCGTGCATGTGTGCCTGTATGCCTGAAGCTACAGAGTGCTTCAGATCCCTGGGGCTAGAGTACAGGCAGTTATTAGCTCTCTCATATGGGTGCTGGGAACCAGGCCTGGGCACTGTTCAAGCGCAGTACAGTACATGCTGCTGAGCACTCTCCTTCCCCAAGTAGCTGTCTTGAGTTTGCTTTTCTATCTACTTCAAGGGCCTCCCTACTGGTTGCTTATTAGAACACACTTCAGTTATGGAAAGACTGGGCGCTGGAGAGATGGCTCAAAGGTTAGGAGCACTGGCTGCTCTTCCAGAGGTCCTGAGCTCAATTCCCAGCAACCACATGGTGACTCACAAAGATCTCTGTGTGCATGAAGACAGAGCACTCATAAAATACACAAATCAATAAATCTGAGAGGGGGGAAGCTATGGAAAAATTGAAATTATGCTATTAAAAAACTGGTTTTCATTTTGGTTTTATGTATCATGTTTCAAGCAGTTCATGGCCAAGTTCTTTTTGAGCATTTTCTGGAATTATCTAATTAACATCTTTACTCCACAGCCCTTCCCCTGGGGAGATGGTAACCATACCTTCTTCCACAACCCTCATGTGAACCCACTTCCGACTGGCTATGAAGATGAGTAAAGAGAACCCGGACTGTCCCCCAGGCAACAAGGGACCACAGCATTGGTTTGGACCATTACTCACTCTGTGTGTGGACCACGAAAGCGCATGGGACACTAAGCTCATCTTTCCTTGTATCAAATCGGTGATCGTTACACCGATCTTCCACCATCCCTTTGCTTGTAAGAGGAGATGGCTTGAATAAATAACTTAAACTTATATTGTTCATGAGCTGAATGTTGCAGGTTTTTTTTTTGTTTGTTTGTTTGTTTGTTTGTTTTGTTCTGGTTTTTCCTTTTCAAGACAGGGTTTCTGTATTGTTTTGGAGGCTGTCCTGGAACTCACAGAGATCTGCCTGCCAAGTGCTGGGATTAAAGGTGTGAGCCACCAACACTTGGTACAGTCTTTATTTGTTCTCAGAAATTGACATTATTTTGCGGTACTTCAGATCTGGTTTAGCCTGCTGAATAATTAATTCTGTGTTAGTTTCTTGTGCTTAGGGTAGGTAAAGCCAAGAACACAGAGCAGTTACCTATTGGAATGGGCTCCCTGACAGACTGAATGATCAATAGAATGGCTGCTGCTTACCACCTATAACAGGTGTCTGTGACAATGTCAAAGACTGGGCAAAATAGCAAGTTCCAGGTCAGCTCAGGCCACAGAGACACAACAACGTGCCTGTGTTCCCGGAAGCTCCCCTGTGGGTCTCAGTATTCTCATGTTTGAGTCTACCAAAGGAGTCAAGTTCTTACCTACAGGTAGGGATTCATTCCTCAGTCAGGCATGGTGGTACTTGTACACACCTTTAAACCCAGCACTCGGGAGGCAGAGGCAGGCGGATCTCTTTTGAGTTCGAGGCCAGGCTGGTCTACAGAGTGAGTTCCAGGACAGCCTCCAAAGCTACATAGAGAAATCTTGTCTTGAAAAACCAAAAGTAAAAGATAGTGCAAGTCATTTTTCTGGAGAAGACGAAGACAAATAGGGTAAATAATCAGTTATTTTCTTAGCAGTTTAAGATGATCCTATTAGAGCTGGGCATTGGTGACATATGCCTTTAATCCCAGCACTCTAGAGGCAGAGGCAGGTGGATCTCTGTGAGTTTGAGGCCAGCCTGGTCTACAGAGGGAGTTCCAGGACAACCTCCAGAACAACACAGAAAAACCCTGTCTCGGGAAAAAAAAAAGATGCTCCAGTTAGAATGTGATGTAAAGCAAGGAACCTATTAGTAGATGCTCTTTTTAGGCAGGGTCTTCTGTTGTGATGTTCCCTAGGTGGTCTTGCACTCTTAGGCTTTGGCCTCATTATCAGGAGTAGTTAGGTTAAGGCATGCACTACTGTAGTGATGTAGTAATACGTTATTTATAATTTATTAGAGCTTGACTGAGGATTCAGAAAAGCAAAGTCAGCCACAAGCCATTGAAGCTGGGCACACACCTCTAATCCCAGCAGCCAGAAGCTAGGAGGTATAGTACACACCTTTAATCCTAGGACTCAGGATTAAAAGATAGACTGATCTCTATAAGTCCAAGACCACCCAGATCGACACAAGAGTTAATCCCAACATTAGGGAAGTATATAAAACAGAAGCAAGGTCTCAGAGAGGCATTTGTTCTCCAGTTTGAGACTTGAAGAGCTCAAGCATAATTCAGCCCTTTCAACCTGAGCTGGAGGTGAAAGCTAGTGGTCGGCTGCTTTGCTTTTCTGATATTCAGCTTGAAGTTTGAACCCCAATGTCAGTCTCTGGGTCATTTATTTTTCGTGTTACATACCACCACACCATTATTTCCTGTTTGTATTTACAGACAGGGTTTCTCTGTGTTATCTCTGACTCTCCTGGAACTCAACTCTGTTGACCAGGCTTGAGCTCACAGACATCCACCTGCCTCTGCCTCTGCCTCTTTGAGTGCTAGGATTAAAGGTATGTGTCACCATCATCTGACTATTTCAGGGATTCTTAATTCTACTCTGAAAGTTAAGGACTTTGAATGCCTTTCTCGCTTAAGCTGAAAATGATCACCATTACTCCCCCCCCCAAAAAAAACCTAAAAGGCCATAGTGATGCATACTCTTATAACCTCTAGGACTTTGGAAGAGGAGTCTGATACCAAAGGACTCCCATAGTTCAAAGCTAGCCTAAGCTACAGTCCAAGTCTTAAGAGAAAAAAAAACAAAACCTAGTGAGATGTGAGACGGTTCAGCAGGTAGACTTGGCAGGTCTTGCTGACAAGTCTGACAACTGAGTTCCATACCCAGAACCTACAGTGGAAGGAGGGAACTGATTCCTAAAGTTGGCTTGCCCACATGAATCAGTTATAAAAAGAATACTGTCCCGGGGCTGGAGAGATGGCACAGAGGTTAAGAGCACTGACTGCTCTTCCAGAGGTCCTGAGTTCAATTTCCAGCAACCACATGGTGGCTCACAACCATCTGTAATGATGCCCTCTTCTGGCATGCAGGCATACATGCAGACAGAACACTGTATACATGACAAAGAAAGAAATAAATCTTTTTTTTTTTTTTTTTTTTTTTTGGTTTTTCGAGACAGGGTTTCTCTGTGGCTTTGGAGGCTGTCCTGGAACTCACTTTGTAGACCAGGCTGGCCTCCAACTCACAGAGATCCGCCTGCCTCTGCCTCCCAAGTGCTGGGATTAAAGGCGTGCGCCACCAATGCCCGGCCGAAATAAATAAATCTTAAAAAAAAAAAAAGAATACTGCCCCAGCATAGTGGTGAGAATGGTCCTTCAACTGACATGTTTAAATCCTTGTTCCCCAGTTGGTTGAACTGTTTGAGAAGGATTGGGGAGCATGGTCTTGCTGGAGAAGATGTGTCACTGGGGACAGGCATGTTCTGAGGTTTCAAAAACCATACCGTTCCCAGTTAGCTTTCTGCCTTGTGCATGTGGACTAGGATCTAAGTTCTCAGCTTTTAACTCTCTAGAACTAGGGTTGGAGAGATGGCTCAGAGGTTAAGAGCACTGACTGTTCTTCCAGAGGTCTTGAGTTCAATTCCTAGCAACCACATGATGCCTCACAACCATTTGTAATGAGATCTGGTGCCCTCTTCTGGCATACATGCAAACATGTAAGTAGAACACTATACATAATAAATTAAATCTTTAAAAAAAATCGTAAATCAGGGCAGGAGAGATGGTTCAGAGCTCAAGAGCACTGGCAGTTAATTCTTCAAGAAGACCTGGTTTCAGTTCCCAACCCCATATAGCAGCTCACAACTGTCTAACCCCAGTTCCAGGGGACTCAACACCCTCAGACATAAATAAAAATAAAACACCAATGCATATAAAATAAAAATAAAGTAGTTTTTTAAAAAGGTTGTAAATCTGGATGTAGTGGAACACACTTGAAATCCCAGCATTCAACAGGTGGAGGAAGGATTGTCAGTTTGAGGCCAGCCTGGGATACACGAGGCTGCCAAAAAAAAAATCTGTCCTCTTTGCCATCTGCTGACTGCACTGGGTCCTCACAGTGCTGTGGTACCAGTTTGAGTTTAGAATACATGTACTTTAGTCTCCCGGTTTCCCTCATACAGCTCTCAAAAATATCTCTTGTGATCTTTCAGACAGTGATCCTTAACCAGTTGAAAATACTTTTTTTACATCCATATTTTTCTAAAAGTGTAAAATGTTTTGGAATGGCATTAGGGTTGGTCAAATTAAAATGAAGTAATAGTAACAGAAAACATGTCAGTCTTCTGTACATCAGCTTTCATTCTGTCTTTAGGGATATACTAAATTCTAAATTTAGGGAGCTGTGAGGCTATATGGCATAGTTTTGGAACCACAATACAAACTAATATAAAGAAGCTATTTATAGCTGGGCGTTGGTGGCACATGCCTTAAATCCTAGCACTCGGGAGGCAGAGGCAGGCGGATCTCCATGAGTTCGAGGCCAGCCTGGTCTACACAAGTGAGTTCCAGGACAACCTCCAAAGCAATACAGAGAAGAAACCTTGTCTCGAAAACCAAAAAAAAAAAAAAAAAAAAGCTATTTATATAAGCTTGGTATTACAGTGTGTATGTGTAGTCCCAGCAAGCTGAAGACAGAGGCAGGAGGCCAGTCTGAATGTCAGATTTCTGACCTACGTGCTGTATCAGCCACCTAGGCTGATACAATGAAGTTACAAAGCAAACGAGGTAATAAGTGTTCTATAAAAGTGCACAGTTCCAGCGGCCAAGGAGTAAAAGCTGAATTGTAGAATTTATTCCATTTTCATGATTACAGACTTAGGGCATGGTAGGCTAACAGATAAATGAGCACCTTTCCCCCACTCAGCCAGACAAGTTCATTCTGCCTGTTATATGATATGCAGATCGCCATTAACTCATGGAGCTGAAAGTTGGCAGCAGCAAAGCTGTGATCTAGGTGATTGTTCCACAGCCACTCCAGGTGCTGCAGCTGTGAGCTGGCGCTGTGAGCTCCAAAGTGACCTTTATGTCACTGAAGCTTTCACATGTTAATTGACGCCTTATTAAGACGGGAGCCGAGTAAAGCTGTCTTCTACTTAGCCACCCAGGCCGCCAGCATTTGTAACTGTCACTATAAAATTACAATCATGTTCCCAAACAGTGATTGAAACTGTTGTGTCCGGATCCCTTTTCAGAGCATCAGCTCCCTGAGAGGAAAAAGAGGTCCTGACCAACTGTGCGCATGAACAATAACTCCCATGTAGTTCCTCTGCAGCAGAAGCTGCCCCACAACCGTGATCATAACCAGTTCATCATTATTTGCATCCAAGGACTAGTTAAAGCTGATTGCAAACCATGTCTTGTAACCAAAACCCCAAGAAGCTTTTCCATCGTTGCACATGGAATTCCTGCAAGATGCCAGCAAAAGTGAAACTGTCTCAAAGCAAAAGTGACAGCTGCTCTGTAGAAATGAGAATACCAAAAGTGAAGAAACGAAACTCTCCTCTTAAACTCCTCAAATCCCTTGGCTAGTTTCACAGCCTCAGCTGACAAAATCCAGGGGCCTCTCAGTTTACTGACATCTTCCAAGTGACAGGCAGGCAGGTCAAGAGGAGTTCTCAGGCTTTTCTTTGCCATGGCCCATAAACTCTAGTCCTTCTATAGGAATCTCTTTCTCCTTTATTGCTTTCTGAAAGAAGAAAATATTATAAAAGTCAGTGTTCTGTAACTGCAATGTAATGGCACATAAGAAACAAAGTGAACTGGAAAGGTTTGAAACCCACAATTCAAGGGACACTTTAGACATGGTGTCACTGTGTAGCTCTGGCTAGCCTGGAACACACACATATCTGTCTGCCTCTGACTCAGCATTGTTTTAACAAAGAAGTACACTGTAAAGATGGTAAATCCTGTGTGGTATGCTTACATGCTCCTGGAAGGCAGAGGCAGGAGGTACCATTACTTTGTCTTAGTGACAGTGTTCAAATCTATTCTAGTACCAGAGGCTACGTGACTTTGAGGCACCTTCCCTGTCTGTGAATTGGTTAAAAATAGCTCCTGGAATTGAGAGGATGTTTTAGGTCGAGTTCGTGAAAATGCATCTACTAGTCTGGAATCAAACCTTACCAGGTGCAACTGGGAATTGGTGGAGAAAAACGGCATTAAAGAGATCATAACAAAACAATGAGGACCACCGCAGTCTAGAAAACAAAACAGTACACACTTCCGCTAGCGCATCTGAACCAATCACTATTTCTGAGTGCTAGTTTTCATCTGTAAGATACAGATAATAGAAGGCCTTGCTGCCAAGCCTGGTGACACGAACTCGACCCCGGAGCCTACATAAATGTGGAAGGAGTTAACGCTTTATTTAAAGATGCAGATAACTGCGGCTACTTTTCAAAATTAGAAAGAACACCAAACAAATGAACCAGAAAATGCTACTGTGCTCCGTAGAAAGCAAAGCACCGCAAAGCAGCCGGCGTGTCAAGTGGAGAGACACCCAGGCAATTTCGGTGGGATGGCGGAGAGGGCTGGCTACAGCAGCCTCCGCGGCGGGTCTGGGGCGAGGCTGACCTGGACACACTGTTGGTAGCGTTTGAAGAGGTCGGTGCACGGGTCCCCGGAGCCGTCCCCTTTGAGGAACTTCTCGGCAAACCAGCGGTTGAAGCATTGGTCGTACTCGCGCTTCATGTCAGTGCAAGCCTCCCCGACGCTGTTCATGGCGATGGCGACTGCTGTGACCGCGACCGCGGCGCACTCTGATGTCGTCAGTATCGCGCGCGTCGCCCCGCTTCGTCACTACGGAGACCGAGAAGCAAAGAAATGTGGGCACGGGCGCTGCGGGTACGTTTTCGGACTCCCCTGGACCGGGGGCGAGGCTTCGCTTCCAAAGCCGGTCCACAGGAAAAGGTCCAGGAGACGGGGCAGGGAACCCACAGCCCACGCCTCGCCCTGCAGGGCGCCGACCGCGTGCCCGCCGCGAAAATCGAGCATCTGGAGCGTCTAGCGCTGGTGAACTTCGGCAGCCGCGAGGCGGTGGCCCGGCTAGAGAAAGCCATCGCCTTCGCTGACCAGCTGCACGCCGTGGACACCGACGGAGTGGAGCCCCTGGAGTCCGTACTGGAGGACAGGTAAACTCCCAGTTGCAGCCTCGAGGTCTTTGAGACTGTTTAGGTGTCCTTTGCATGAATGGGAATTTGCACAGTCACCGTGAGGATGTCTTCACTCTTCCCCTAGTTCATTATAGATCCTGTTTCTCCAGTTTAGAATCCTCTAGCCTTCTTAGTTCGGTGTAAATAGGAACAAAATCTGAGCTGCTTGTTAGTCACTGCCTTCGAATCCCTACTTCACAGGACCCCCTGCTCATCCACTCGGATGTGCTGTTTGCCCTGTTCTAGCTTCCATAACTGTTTCTCAGCAAGCCACGCTAATTCCCTCTAAGGTGTTTGAATTTGGCGACCTGAGCATCAGATTAAATACCCGAAAGAATTTTATATTTTGGAGACCTTCTTAAATCAGATCATATACTAATATGACATATCAAAACATATAAACTATGTTTCATCTTTTTTAAAAAACAGAATCTGAGGCGTTGGTGGTGCACGCCTTTAATCCTAGCACTCGAGAGGCAGAGACAGGCGGATCTCTGTGAGTTCGAGGCCAGCCTGGTCTACACTGCTTCTGATAAAGCCAAAAAAAAAGTTTTCTCATGGCCTGCAGGGCATCGTCTGTCAATAGCCCCTGCCCATTTCCCTAAGCCAGCACTGTCATGCCCTCTCAGCTTCTTGAGTTCTCTCCCTGCTACTTTTTCCCTCACAGGTCTCAGCCCGCGTTTAGCTAGCTCTTTATCCCACCTACTTTTCTCCTACTTAGTTTCCTTTCTTAAGCTGTCACCTACCATTAAGTTTTCATTCCTTTATACAGTTACATACATTCTTTGTGATCCTAGTGATATTCAAAAGAGCTGTCAATCACGACGTATCTACTTGAATGTTATTTCTTTGCCCCTCCCCTTCTGTTTATCTATGTTCCATGCATTGCTTATTTTTGGTGTCTAGCACTGAGTAAATACTTGGTAAATGCTTAAATGAACATTTCATCGGTTTATTTGGGGAAGAGAAGAGAAGCACTAAGGAGTCTCAGGGTGGGATGGTTCAGTGGATGAGACTAATTGCAGCCAGACCTGATGGTCTTAGTTTGACCCTCAAGACCCACGTGATGAAAGAAGAGACCTGACTCAAACAAGTTGTCCTCTGACCTCCACACACTTACCACTTATTTCTGCCCCATACAAAAATTTTTAAATGTAATTTTTTTCAGGAGTCAGGATTTTCTGACTTCTAGGAGTACCTAAAGAAACGCAGTTGCTACAAATGGAAGTCAAAAACAAAAACAAAAACAAAAAACAGACAAGCAATAGCTAGCATGTGGTGGCTGGAATCTGAGCTTCTCATTCAGTGGCCTGCATTTCTGTCCATAAATTAGGTGCATTTTAGGTTAATGAATCCCACTAGTCATTTTTTTTTACATTGGATTTTTTTTAATTTAAATTAGAAACAAGCTTGTTTCACATGTCAATCCCAGCTCCCTCTCCCTCTCTCCCCCCCTGCCCTCCCCACCAGGTCCCCCATCCTCCACCCAATCTCCATTCCGATCCCCAGGGAGGGTGAGGCCCTCCATGGTGGATCTCCAGTTACTGTCATTTCATCCAGGGCAGGACCTATGCCCTCCCCCAAGAGTCCCGGCTGAGAGAGCCTCCTATATTGTGGCATGGGCACTCAAAGTCTATTTGTACGCCAGGGATAAATACTACCCGAGGCCCCATAGATTACCTAGGCCCCACTAGCCATTTTAATAAGACATTTGTAGGACTTCAAAAAAATTATTAATCCCAGCACCCTAGGCCAGACTTGAATGTGTTTTTAATTTTTATGTGTATGTGCCTGAGTCTATGCATATGTGTGTAGGAGTCCAGAGATCGGAAGAGGGTGGTGCCTGCAAGATTCCCTGGCACTGGACTTATAGGCAGTTGTGCACCTCCATGTGGGTACAAGCAACCAAACCCAGGCCCTTGCATCAATTCCAACCCTCTGTTCTCTTACCATGAATGACAATATCTAGCTTTGTGTTGGGTACTTCTGTTAGGGTTAGCTCCCCTTTGCTAGTGAGTTTAGATTCCTTTTTGATGTTGAGACAGGGTTTCTCAGGTGACTGTCCTGAACATGCTCTGTAGACCAGGCTAGCCTTAAACTCAGAGGTCTACCTACCTGTCTCCCAAGTAGTAAGTGGAGTTAAAAGTGCTAGACTCCCTTTTTAAAAGGAGTATCCAGAAGCAGGCTGATTGTGGTAAGACACTTTCATGTTCTGAAGTCAGAGTGAAGTTGTTTGACTGTATTCCCACTTACTTTCACTAGTCTGTAATGTAGATGTTTTACTTGAACTTGTTTTAAGACAGAATCTTACTGTGTAGCCCTGGCTAACCTTGAGCTTAATATGTAAGCTGCAAACTCAGCCTACACAGAGAGAGATGAGACGTGTAGCAAGAGATCTAACTATGCACCTATGGTGCTGACCACACCCAAACTCTCACTACAGAGAGGAGAGACTAGGAGACGAGAGAGAGAGAGAGAGAGAGAGAGAGAGAGAGAGAGAGAGAGAGAGAGAGAGAGAGAGAGAGGAGACACAGAGACACAGAGACAGAGACTCACCAGAGTACAGGTGGAAGACAGAGGACAACCTACGGGAGTCCATTCTCTTTCCATGTGTGTACCAGCTTAAGCTAGGTGGCAAGTACCTTGACCTAAGCAATTTACATACTTTATATGTACACCTAGAGAACAATATTCACTATCTGTTTGTGATGTATCTTAATATATATATATATATATATATATAGGTTTTTTTCAAGACAGGGTTTCTCTGTGTAGCCCTGGTTATCTTGGAACGTGTTCTGTAGACAAGGCTGACCGCAAACTCAGAGATCTTTGCCTCCCAAGTGCTGGAATTAAGATGTATCTTCTTTTGAGACAAAGCCTATGTGGGCACTAACCTTAAACTACATAAGTGCAGGGATTATTGGCATGTGCCACGTAATGCTACTGTTCATACTGTATTTTGATGAATGGCAGGCATCTTTTTTTTTTTTTTTTTTTTTTTGGTTTTTCGAGACAGGGTTTCTCTGTATTGTTTTGGAGCTTGTCCTGGAACTCGATTGGTAGACCAGGCTTGGTCTCCAACTCACAGAGATCCACCTGCCTCTGCCTCCCGAGTGCTGGGATTAAAGGCGTGCACCACCACCGCCCGGCTGGCAGGCATCTTTATATCCCCCTAGGTGGCTATGTTGTCTTGCATGGATTCATGCTGCATCTGGTAAAATGTCCATTCCCTCCCCGCCCCCACACCCACACCCACACCCAGTTGTTTCTTGTCTATTCACTGGCAGTGACATCACTGATCCTTGAGCACATGCTTCTCACTGAAGCAGAGTCTGGGACACTTGTTAGTCCTTTGACATACTTTGTTTAAAAAGTTATGTCAAAAGTGGGGGGGATGTGTGCGTGTGCATGCATACCCAGCGTGTGCCTGAGTATATGCACCACAGATGTGCAGTGCCCTTTGAAGAAAGCATCACATCACCTGAACTGGAGTTATAGGCAGTTGTGAGTCACCATGGAGGTGCTGGAACTGAACCTGAGTCCTCTGGAAGAATAGCCAGGGTACCTAACCACTGAGACATTCACTCCAGCCCATATTTAATACAGTTGTATCCTAACTGCCCTTTCACACTTCACCAAAATGAATCTGCTCATACTAATTATCCAGTAAGATTTGCTAATCAAACCAGGGAATAATTACAGTTTGCCTCAGTGGCCAGGAGGACCGCCAAACTGTAGACAGCTCTTCGGTCTATTTTGACCACAGCACCCCTATCTGAGGACAGTGAGCACAGCAGACGGTTTTGCTTCCCCAAAGCCCCCATGTTCTCTCCCTGCTCTAGAAGCCTCAGTTCCTTCAGAATGTAACTCTGACCTCTGGGTTTTGCAGATGTCTCTACTTGAGATCTGACAATGTAGCAGAGGGCAACTGTACTGAAGAACTACTACGAAATTCCCATCACGTTGTGGAGGAGTATTTTGTGGCCCCCCCAGGTATGTGTTTCCCAGAGCAGCTTAGACATTGTCACTGAAGATACAAGTGGTGGTGTTACGATGACAGTAGTCCAGAAGTCAGATTCACCTTTAGGGGCCAATCAGTAATGAAAGCAAAGTACAGGAAGGACTAAGGGTGTGTGTGCAACAGGCAGCATATCTCCCTAGGCCTGGAACCCTGTCTGGCATCCCTGGTGCTCTCCTGGTGCCAGAGGAACCTGAGCCTATTTGTTTGGAGAACTTAAATGTACAACATTTTGTCTGGTATATCAATTTGTATTGGCAACCAATTCAAGAAAAATTAACATGTCATGTCAGCCAGCCAAAACATACCATAAGCCATGATATATCTTAGCCATGGTTTGTAAACCCTGATGTAGCAACTTGCATCCAAACTACCTGTACACACCTAAAATGGAAGCCTGTGCAACCTGTCTTTTCATCTCCACAGCAGACACCAGGTAGTTGACAAATAAAGCTCTAGTGAGCCAAGCTAACAGACTTACAGCTTAAACATTTTTTTGGGGGGGGTTAGTCGAGACAGGGTTTCTCTGTATAACAACACTGATTGTTCTGGAACTCTGCTTTGTAGACCAGGCTGGCTTTGAACTCACAGAAATCTGCCAGCCTCTGTCTCCCAAGTGCACCACCACCACCACCCATGGATTAAATTCTTAACTAGGCCATATTTGCCTTAGCTAGCTAAAGAGAAAGATTTTAATAACCTTACCTTTCAGGGCCCTGTAGTTGTTACTTCATCAAATATATCTACTGATCCTATCACACAGAAGAACCTTGCTCCAAACTTGGATTCTAGGCACAGAGGTTCGTTCTTAGTCTTCCACTCCTACCTGAATATATATGGCTGGTTATGAACAGCTTGTCTCTATGCACTGCAAAGTATGGATTTGGCTTCACTTTGAGCTGTTACTGATACTTGAGAGTTGAGAAAAATGATGTCATTAATACCTACTTCCACTTTTTTCCATGAAAACCAAGTGACCATTAGTTTAGGAGGACCAGCTTGACAGCAGGCTCAACTATAATATTTTTTCTTGTTTTCAAACAGGTAATATTTCTTTGCCAGACATGGTAAACAAGACCCCTTCTCCCACAGCAGAGTAGCTATTCTGGGAAAGGGGAACCCTATCAAGATGGTGGACTCCCAAGGGTGGTCATTTGCTACTGTGAATTCTAGTGTAAACTGGACATTTATGGTTTCTTGCTAAGTGTCCTGACAAGAAAACTGGAAAACACCCAATAAACACCACAAGCCTGCTTCCAAGGAAATGGATCAAGTACCTACAAGCCTGTTCTGTATGGAAAACATCCTCCCATCTCCTAAAAAGCTATCAAAATGTATCTATGTGAATTCTGTTTATACTTAGGAGATAGACTGCCTGTGACTAGGTAACAAGTTATTTTTAGTTACTCTTTCACTGACTTGAGCAGCCAACCATCTTCATTTGTTCTTGGGTACGTATTTTATTCCTATCAGAGGGCTGGCTCATTTTATGGAAAGGTTTGAGTAGTATCAAAGTAATACAGCCTGGGAACTCCTAATTTAAAACCTTCCTTTCTCAGAAAGTGGCACTACCACCTTCCCACACATAGTGTATTTGGACACTTAACCCCCTCCCTACACAATGTATATGAACACCCTCCCTTCCCTGCCATACTGTGGATGAACACCAGACCCACACACACACCAGAGTGCATAGTAACACTCAACCCTCTCCAGTGTCTATGAACACCTGACCCCTCCCTCTCCAGTGTCTATGAACACCTGGCCCCTCCCTCTAGGGAGTCTGAACACCTGGCCCCTCCCTCTCCAGTGTCTCTATGAACACCTGACCTCTCCCTCTCCAGTGCCTATGAACACCTGGCCCCTCCCTCTCCAGTGTCTATGAACACCTGACCCCTCCCTCTCCAGTGTCTATGAACACCTGACCCCTCCCTCTCCAGTGTCTCTATGAACACCTGACCCCTCCCTCTCCAGTGTCTATGAACACCTGACCCCTCCCTCTCCAGTGCCTATGAACACCTGGCCCCTCCCTCTCCAGTGTCTATGAACACCTGACCCCTCCCTCTCCAGTGCCTATGAACACCTGGCCCCTCCCTCTCCAGTGTCTATGAACACCTGACCCCTCCCTCTCCAGTGCCTATGAACACCTGGCCCCTCCCTCTTCAGTGTCTATGAACACCTGGCCCCTCCCTCTCCAGTGTCTATGAACACCTGGCCCCTCCCTCTCCAGTGTCTATGAACACCTGGCCCCTCCCTCTCCAGTGTCTATGAACACCTGACCCCTCCCTCTCCAGTGTCTATGAACACCTGACCCCCTCAACACACAGTGTTGTCCCTTCCCACAGTGCCTATAAACACCCTCCCCCCTTCCCCCCACAGTGTCTGGGAATACCAGCCAAACAGTTCCTTTCTGAAAAGAACTTGTTAAAAATAGCCCTGGGCTTGTTTTCATTCTTCCTCTTCCCTTTATCTGCAATGTGCCCTCAAAAGCAGACACACACATCTTTTTTATTTGTTCAGACAGGGCCTCTGTACCTCAGATTGACCTTGAATGCATAGATTCTTCCTACTACCACAGCCTCCCAAGTACAGGGATAGAGGCATGAACCATCTCAAGGAACTCCTTTTATGGCAGTTTATTTTACAACGTCAGTTCTGCATTGTAAGAACTCTGAATCTGGGTTAGAGATGGCTCAGTAGTCAAGAGAACTTCCTAAACTGGTGCTGTGGCGCACGTCTTTAAACCTAGCAGGCACTTGGGAGGCAGAAGCAGGTGGATCTCTGTGAGTTCAAGGACAGCTAGGACAACAGAGAACTCCTGGTTTAGAAAAACAAAAGCAACAAAAAGAGCACTTCCTAGCCTAGCCTCCTGTTCTGACTTGAGTCAGGCTTCTGGTACCACGTCATCTCAGGGGGGCCCACAACCTCCTGTGACTCCAGTTCCAGGGGGTCTATTCGGTCTTTCTGTCCTTGGTGGGCACTAACACACATGTGGTACACACATGTACATAAAAATCAATCTTAGAATCTGCCCTTGAGTGTTGAAATTTTGAATCCATCACCATTTCCCCAGCTCCTGAAAAACTGGTATGACAACACAAATGTGATTCTTTTTGGCCAGAACCTGTTAGGTGAAACCTAACGCCTTACTCAAAGACAACCACACACCAGTTACTAAACATTTAAAATATATTTCTAAACAAAATGGGCGACTCAGTCACCGTAACTGCTGATATCCAGAGCAGAGTGACCCACAAAGATACAGCACTGATTTCTGTCCCATAATCAGGGGTGAAAAATATACAACTTGTTTCTGAACCAAAGCCACAAGTTCTATTTCTGCAGTCTAAAACATTCCACTGCTAGTATGGTGGCCCTGGCTGAAATTTTAGTTCCTTAAAAAAGAAAAAAGAAAGAAATTTAAAAAATTTCCTAAGATGCTAAATTATCAATCTGGAATGTAGATTCTGAGCACAAAGCAGCTCAGCATATCTAAAAAAAAAAAAAGAGACAGGTAGAGAGAGACACTTCCAACGGCCTTCCTCAGTAAGGCCGGAAAGGAGAGAAGTAGTGTGGAGAGCCCCTGCTTTGGTATGGAGAATCACGGCCCCTGGACCCAGACCGGGACCGTGAGTAGCCATAGCTGGTGCTCCTCTCAGGATAAACTCGGATGTATGAAGTTTCACCCTAAAATCAAACAAACAGAAAAGGAAAAAGTAGCGAATCAGCATAGGAATAGTAAGCAAAGCCAACCTCTAGAACTGGCTGACTAACAGCCCCGAATATTTACTGCATGCCCAACACTAATCTTATTAAACTTTCACAATGTTATTTCTCTCCCATTTCAAAAAGGAAGAAAATCAAGATAAACAAATGCCAATGTCTCCCTGCTCTGACCTTGCAGGACTTAGGAATAGCAAACATGCCCTTTATTTAATTTTTGAAACTTTATGTGCACTGGTGCTTCGCTTGCATGTGTCTGTATGAGGGGTCACACAGATACGGTGGAACTGGGGTTACAGACACCTAGTTGTGAGCCGCCATGTGGGTGCTGGAAGAGCAGCCAATACTCTCAATGGCCAAACCATCTCTCCAGGCCCCTGGAGCTAGATCTTTAATGGTACTGTGAAGTCATCGAATGGCAAAGGCATGCTACTATCGCTAAGTTAGACTTGACAGAAGGTGAGACCCTACCTCGTGAGAGCGGAACTTTGAGTCATCCAGTTTACGCAGAGCATATTCCATGTCCTCTTTTCTCAGATATTCAACCATCCCCATTCCATCCTTTTGTACATCTGCATAACAGACATCCCCAGCTTCGCGCATGTGATCTTTCAGGTCCTGCCAGCTGCCAGATGGAGGAAGCCCTAGGCATAGAGAACGTAAGAGAAGAGCCACATCCTTCAGCCTCGTTAACCGCCCTGCTAAGAGCTAGCAATACCTAAGATAGTCTATACTCTGTGGATAACTTTATTCGCAAGGGTTCCCAAGGCACAAATCCTTATAAGGGGCACAGACCAGAGAAATACACTTAGGTATATATGGTAAAACACTGTGAGAAGCTAGTCTAGGTTAACTGTCCAGAGACCAAAGTTTCCCAACAAACCATCCTATTACAGGCTTACAACCTCTGAGAATTTACCACTGTCCTTCACAATCAATGTGGCACTCCCAAAACTGAGTTCTGTTTGTTTTGTTTTCCATTACGAAATTTATTAGTACCAAGTATTTCTTGCTGAACTTACTTTCCCAAGACTTGGGAATTTTGAAACAAAGCAAGTGTAGCTGAGGGAACAGCACAACGACAATGATCAAAGTTTGTTTTCTACTGTCGTGAACAGTTGACAGACCACATAGTACCTCGTAAGAGATCACCACCATTCCTCACTACAGTTGGGGAAAGGTAACACTCAGACGCTAAGGCTGGTTGGGAGTCATACGACCCTACCTGATGTCATGAAAGGGAAATGTGCTCCTGCTCTCAAAGGCTGTGTTTACCGCTCACAGCTCAGGACTGCAGCCATTTCCTAATAGTTTTCTAAGCAGGATTTCAGAGCAGCATGGAGAGAAAAAAAGATAATGTATGACATCTTGAAGGAGGGAATAGAGTCCTAGGGTTAAAAAAAATCACAAAGGGATACAAGATAGACAGATAGCATCACTCTTATGCACTACTGTGACTGTGGGACATTCACACTTCAACAGGTGCCAAGCTCAATATGCATCACTCCACTAGGGTCCCCAAACTCCCCTGCAATGTGCAGAAGGCCCCAGGTCTCAACACTGCACTGATATTTCAAGACATGTAAACTTCTCAGTTTAGCATTATATCCACTTACAGATGTTTTGTGCTTTTCGAATACAATCCCCAAGATACTAAGGTATTTGAATCTGACTCCTGTGATGTCTTTAAAGCCAGATACCAAGGAACATTCCCAAAGGGAAACTTCTAGAATTCTAGATCAGAGGTTTTGCCATCATCACACTCTCACTAGTAAGAAACCACTTTATAAGAAACATATTTATCAAGCTGTGGTATCACATGCCTTTAGTCCCAGCACTCAGGAGGCAGAGGAAGAGGCAGGCAGTTCTCTGAATTCGAGGCTAGCCTGGTCTACACAGTGAGTTCCAGGACAGCCAGGACTACATAGGGACCTTGTCTAAAAACAAATAAACAAACAAGAGACAAGTTTCTCTCCCACGAGGCTGTATTACTTGTACAATTTCATTTGATGGTACCTGCCTCCCTGTGAAACAAGAGCAAAGCTTTAGACTGTCCATGTGCACTGGCTACCGAAAAGCCAACATACACCACGCACAGAGTAATAGCTAATACTCCTTAGAGGCCAGACTCTTTGAAGTAGCATACATGCACATCTCATTCAATGTAGTTAAGAACATACCTGAAACAAGGACTCGGAAATCAGACCGTCTTGTAGGAGGCCCATTCCTTGCACCACGGGGCCACCCAGCCCGACCTCCGTAAGTCCTGGGGAATTCAACACGAAGTCGACACTGGCCATAATCATAACCATTTCTTCCATAGATTGCATCCTCAGCATCTCTGAAAAGAAAAGCTTGAATCAGTGCTTCCCAATAGGCTGAGTGACTCCCCAGTGAAGGCATGAGTAACTAAGAGGGGAAGTCAGCCTGAGGGAGAAGGAGGATGTACCTCTGCTTCAGCTGAGGATCTTTTCACATAAGCTTTTCAGATAAGCTTTACAGCTAGCCAGTAAGATGTTCAGCTATGGCATGCATACAGTACCCAAGTGCAAAATACTTACTCAGAAACGTAAAGAAATTTAAAAATTTTACAGCTAATGAAGGGGTTTGAACA